TACGCTGAGAGGTGTGGAACGTTACTCCTCCCACACTAAATTAATCATGTGTTATTTATTCATGTAATGCTTCTGTTTTGTATGCACTTTGAAATGCATTTGTGTCTGAAATGTAAACCCTTATCCTATTCCCTGTTAAAGTTGTCCTTTTCTCTAATAATGTGGGTACTTTTATGTCAAGTGTTTGTATAATTCTTACCTCTTAGGGTAGATTTAAGAAGTTTAGATTATGAAACAACTCACAGAATTCTGAAACATTACATGATGTCTCTATAATGGTGGTACACTTTGGGACCAATCAGTAAGTAGCACGTTGGTGACATTAAAAAGCATGATTGCATTACCACTTGTTACGTGCCAGGCAGGCTGTACTTGTGTGGTTCTCCTTCCCTCCTGTTTTTCTCTCTTCTCCCTGGGTCCTTCTCAGGTCGACTATTTCATTTCCTCCTCGGTCCTCGGTCCTCGGTATCACCGGAAGTTGATTTGTCTGCGCCATCTTGAGTAGCGTCCCATGGCTCTTATTTTCTGCCGGAGGACCGAGGATCAAGGAGCGAGGAGCGATAATGGAGGAGCGATAACCGAGGAACCACCAGACCATCCTCCGGTGAAATCCTCAGATACTCTCCCCGCCCCCTTACTGTGTATCACTCACTGATTGGACGATGCAGCGCATGCACTGATCTGATGCTTCTTGACATGAGAGCAGGGTTGCGGTCGAATAGTCCATTTAGCTTAGGAACCTTCCTAACAGAGTGAAATGACCCGGAAGTCCCTCAGTGGCAGCCATGCATAAGTGCCGTTCAAATTCTCTAAATTAAAAGGAAAGGAGGTTTCAAACTTCCTTTATAACCTCCTTTAGCTTAGGAACCACTGGACCTCCCTAACGGCCCCTACACACGGCGGCGTGCGTTGACGCTTCAACGCTTCTGCCCATTCACTTTGAATGGGGTGACGTCACGATTCGCCGAACTGCATTCTGGGATCAAAGCGTAGCTCTTCTCGCGGTGCTCGCTGCAAAAGTAGAGCAATGTTCTACTTTTGAAGCTGAGGCGGAGGCGTCAGCCATATCAATCCCGCGTATGCAAATCTGACAGTTCAAAGCGCTAGCCAATCAAACCGCGTGTATGCTGAGAGAGCCAGACCGCAGTTCAATTTCCTCCTATGCCAAAAAATGGAGGAGAAAATAATCGTAGCGGTAGGGAATCACCCGGTGCTTTCAAGTCCCTGTTCACCTACCGGGATACAAACCGGAGAGCCAGGGCATGGAGGGAGGTGGCAGAGACAGTGGGTGAAACTGGTAGGTTTTCGCCTGTTTTGGGGAGTTTATATCCAGTGTACTTTCGTTTGAATGGACAGCAGGCATAGACAGTATATTTAGCCACCATGCAATGTTGCATAAAATAGCACCATAGACATTAATTAAAAAATCGCTTTTTAGACAGTAATGTCTATGGTGAGATTCATACAACGGGAGCCTTTTTAAAGCCTTTTTACCCCGCTGCAAACAGAACCCCCCCCCCTTCCCATCACAAACTTTACACAGACCCCCCCTTCCAATTATCAACTCCTGTCTTGTTTCCGCAAACTTTTGTGTCCTGCAAGCAGCTAAACGTTTTGCAAGGCCCCCGTTCGTTAGTACCTAAAATATCGACATCGCTTTTTCCAGCTGACAAACCCGACTTTCTGGTCACTTCTTCAAATTTCCAGCCCTTGGGGAGAGACACGGGAGATTCATGTGATTGGTTGTTGGTCGCGTTGCTCGCGTAAACTCCCCAAGCTCAAGACACGCCCACCGCCAAGCGGCAACGCACGCCGCCGGTGTAGGCTGCGTAACCGAAAGGAGAGGACAAAATGCTGCCCCACAATGCCTTGCGGCCGCGGCATTTGCCGTCACACAACAGTCGGCCGTTCACGGAAACAACCGATTATGAACGAGAAATGATATCATGAAAGTTACGGTGCTTATTAAGCATTTTAAAACGTATGTGGTAAGTTGCCCAAAGTGCTTTGTTTTGAACGTTCATCAGTTTTATAATCAAAAAGAGAAATATGAACGTTAAGTTTTTTTACTGAAATGATCAAATAAAGTCAACATTTCCAGTCTTTACTGAGCTGTGTGGGGTTTGTTCAACTTTTAAAAGATGTTTGAATGGTGATATACACAGTGATAGATGTTAAGGACTAACGTTTATAATAAAGACATTTGTATTGATTTAAGATCTTTTCATACATCATACGTATTGGGATCATTTGTATTATGTGGACCGAGAGGAGAGGGTGACGAGCATAAGTTTCACATTCCTTTATTATTTCAATTCCAACTTTGGTCATGAAGATATGTTTCCTCTGTTGTCCCTGTTCATAAAGCATAAAACAACAGCATCAGAGCACGGTGCAGAGTCTCTAGATGAGTTTACAGTAGTCCCTCGTTCTTATTAACATCCATGTTTGTAGTCCGCTGTATAGAAAAACTGTAGTTTCCATAAGTTTCCCCCACAGCAGCAGACGCACATTTATGACCTCCGCTGGCGCATCATAAACACGTCGGATAGTGAAAGTGCAGTCGGATTCTCAAAGTACCGCAGTCTCTTCTCCTAAATCCTTTGAATTCTCCTATCCACTATCCCTTAACCCCATGACGTTTCACTCCGAGGTCCAAGGAATAGACGATAGGGTTAGAACTTACGAGCTGTTTTTTTGGAGTATTCGACCGCAAACCCAGCGGAGTGAAGAAAACACATGAAACTCACGGGACTCACTCCTCAGTTTTATACTGTGTTTTGTTTCAATGAATGCCTCATTCAGTTACAAATATGTGATATATCTGAACAACAAAGTGGTCAAAAAATAATTTTATTCATTTATTGGAAACATTTTCATGATCGCTTTTTCGTTTTACATTTTCATTTATTGTCATTTCCATTCAGTCCAGTCATTAAGTGCTATTTACATGTTTAATTTGCTACACAAACAAAGTGTGCAATCCAATGAATGTTAATCTAACTGGGTTTTGATAGATAACATATCTCTTTTTCTTCTCTGAATTATTTTATTCTATTGTGCACTCTAATCAATATTAATCCAACTATTGTTCGTTTTATACATTTTAAGAATGGCGTCTATCTTTTTTGAGAATGAGTTCTTATTTTATTTAATGTATTTGAGTCTACAACAGATTGATACAAATGTTTGTGTCAGTAAATGTGTACTAAACAGAGGCGGGGGTGTTTGTGAAAATAACGGGGACAGAGCTGGCTGCTGTCAGACGATCAGCTGTGGCGGCATAATCACAAACGGACGTCGCTTCACGTGACGCTCCGGAGGAAAGGACGTCCCATTGCTCTTAAAACTCATTTCCCTGCTTCTCGTGGTTTCCTTGCGTCTCTCCATGCTTCCCTGGTGGGAGGGACTAAACGCAGGGAAACGACGCAAGTGAGGGACGCAAGAATTCCATTTAATCGACCTGAGAAGGACCCCCTGGGTGTTTCTCAATCACGAGTAAAGCTGCTTCAGAGCCACTATTTCAAGCATACTACGTCATCGAGTGCCGCCGAAGTACTGTTCCAATCTCCAGCATACTTGGAAATCTACCGAGCCCGGCGTACTCCGTTTGGAGAAATATCGAGGCTGCACATGAGTAGACTCCGCGGTCTTAAAATCCCCCACAATGCTTTGCGCACGGACCAATTTCCCCAAATCTATGGTGGAAGATGTAAGGCGAGGCCTCTCATATGACGCACACCTGCACACTTGCTAGCGTGTTCCACACTTCGGGTGTTTCTCAATCGCGAGTACGCTTGCTTGGTAGCACATGTCTGCCGAGCATCTTGCTTCAGAAGCGAGTCAAGAATACTTCCTGGCATTTGGAAAACGAAGAGTGGAACAGGCTAGCAAGTGTGCAGCTGTGCGTCATATGAGAGGCCCCGCCTTACATCTTCCGCCACAGATTTGGGGAAATTGGTCCGTGCGCAAAGCATTGTGGGGATTTTAAGACCGCGGAGTCTACTCATGTGCAGCCTCGATATTTCTCCAAACGGAGTACGCCGGGCTCGGTAGATTTCCAAGTATGCTGGAGATTGGAACAGTACTTCGGCGGCACTCGATGATGTAGTATGCTTGAAATAGTGGCTCTGCAGCAGCTTTACTCGCGATTGAGAAACACCCTTCGTTTTCCGAATGCCAGGAAGTATTCTTGACTCGCTTCTGAAGCAAGATGCTCGGCAGACATGTGCTACCAAGCAAGCGTACTCGTGATTGAGAAACACCCCCTGTCTTCTCTACAGCTAATCAGCAGCTGATTCTGACGGCTGATTGGATCCTCTCACCCTCAGCTGGCCTATCAGCAGCCAGGGCCGACCATAAAGGAGGCACCCAGGAAGTCTTCTCCCTCTCTCTCTCACTCTGGGCCTGTTGCTGACTGAGGAGCCTGAATTTGACTGCAGTGTTTAGAAACTCGTTCTACTTTGTTTGTTCTGACCTTTGTGAATGTGTGTGTATTGAGAGGTGGAGGAGTTAGGTAAGTCTGGGGTACCCTGTACATTTCTTATCACTTGAGGGTTTTTGTTTGAGTTTTGGTTTCAGAGGATATATGTAGAGATAGGCCTGGTTTTGTTATACTTAATTATTTTGTTTGGCACAATCTCCTTTGTCTCCTCCTCCTCACACAAAGAGTATTTATGTTCAGTTCTAGGTATATAAGGAATAAACCTTTTTGTCAACCTTCACGCTGACTCCCTCATTTTTATTGGTTGTTGTGTGTTATTGTCTCCAGGTCCCCTAGACCTTAGTGGGGACGTAACATTATACATTGATTATATATTTAAAAAGCCGCACCCTATACTGAACCGGTTTGGCAGGAAGAGCAAATGGACATTTATTTGTTTATCTAACAATAGAAATGTATGTTATTAAAAACCTAGAGCAGATAGATCCTTTAACAAGAACATGAACAATACAAGTGAATTGTATTGGTTTATTGGAGTGTATACTACATCAAATAAAAGAGTAAATAACAAGGAACCAGATAAGCCATCATCTAGATTTCATATATGAATGAAAAAACACCAAAAAACATTAATTTGCAGTGAGTTTTGTGCTTTAAAATAAGAGAAAACAGATCAAAATCATTATTTGAGAAGAGTCTATATCAAAATCCCCCTACATTAGTGCTGTGATCAATGTGGAGGATTTAATTAATTCATTGAAATTTCAGCCTAAATTTATCAAACAATGCTAAACAGAATAAAATCAGATTCAAAACAGAAAATACATATATTAAAAATACATAAAACTGTTTAAATCATTAAAAGCAAAACGTCTCTGTGACATCACAGCAGTGGCTGAGATCCAATATCTATTCTCCGATATATGGGCTTAGTGAGGACTTTTTCACTGGGGGATCTCATTCAAAGCATAACAGAAGACAGCATAGCTACTCATAGTTTGTCATTATGGTCAAAATGTTCCCAGAGGTCTCTTCCTCTCCAAAATAAACTGACCCAGAGAGTAAAGCTGCTTCAGCACTGAATAAAGCAGTTTACTTTTAAAGTTAGTGTTTCCTTGATGGATACAAGCCAGAGAGGCTACAAGCTAATGCAAAGTGACCTTAGCTTCTCTGCAAACAGTTCTGGAGGTTTAACGTTTCATAATTGATCTGTAAGTCCTCTTACATCGCCAAACATTGGTACAAACCAAGGTGTTAACCTCTGATTGTCGTCCTAGAATCGGAAATAAATCTTCCAAGAAGTCCTGTTGCCTGAGCTAAGGTAAAATAATGTTAGTTCAAAAAGAACACAATTTAAAGTGTTTAGTAAAAGTGTGCTGAAAACTGGATTAAAAACGACATTTATGAAAGCTTCTGGCAGACAACTAAAATGCTGATGCGCACAAAATCAGGGGAGGGGTGGATGTGGGGGTCGCTATTGACATGCAGATATATCTTAATAGACTGTACAACATAAGATTATCATTAAACTGCTTTTTTTAATAGGATTTAAAAATGACATGAATTAGGGCAGCCCCTTATGCTAACACTAAAAAACACTCAAAGTAAACAGATAAGAACAATTGTTGAAACCCAATCCAGAGGCCTCATGTATTTTATCCTCGGTATGTTAACAGGCGTCTGCTGTTAGTCTCCACTGATCAACCCTGAAACGTCCACCAGAGAGACAAAGAGCGATGTTGTGAAATTGAATATTAATAACAAACAATTGTCAACATCTTATTAACAGTTTGGATCATCAGTTTCACCAACACCTACCTGTGCACATGATGGACGCACTGTAGCCGCTTGAACCGGTTAATCACTACTGTAATAAAAGCACTGTTAGTATTTTCAGAAAACAAGTCATAATCCAGACAATATGAATATTTTATATTATGTTTAAATTGAGTTTTACCAAATAATTGCATCATCATCGGGCACTCTGTCAGTTCTTTTCAGGTCATTGTAGTATTTCTTTACCAACTTAAGCTCATCACTTACATCTGAAAAAATAAATAACATATTGTTTCAAACAAGTGGATTCACTTAATACACTAATGGAAATATATCGACTTCTTAATTACTATCAAATGTACAGTATTTTTTGGTGATTTTGTTTTGTTTCCTTTACCTGGGATGGAGACACCATCTGTTTTGAGTGACAGCTCGATTGATTCCTGCATCGTGCTCTCCAGTTTCTCCAGGATCTCCAACTAAATCAGCATTGAAATATTTATCACATGTATGTTTGTGTTGCAGTGTTCCTAGTTTAATTTCCCAACATGTTTCAGTGAAGAATTATTTCTGTAAGACGAAATATAAAATGTGACAAACCATCAAGTTTCTCAGCTGTTTCATCATGGCGTCTTTAGCCTGAGCAAACATGATGTTCTTTGAACCATGAACGTGCTTTTCAATAGTTTCCCTCATGTTTTTCAGCGTGCCTTCTCCTTCAAATTCTTTTGCTCCTACATATTAAACAGAAACATGTTGACATCAAAATGTTGCAACAAAAATGTGTAGAAGTGTATTTCTATGTCTGTAATGATCTTCTGTCTTACTGTCATAGCATGGTGTCATGGTCTCCTCGATTGTTGTTGTCAGGCTGCTGTAGATCGCTTTCTTTCGCTCACGGATGAGTTTGTTGAGGTTTGTTTTCATTTTTTCTTCCTTAGAGTGAAAATGCGAAGCAAATATTTTTAAATCAATAAGTTACAAACAAGGCTCATCTTTCCATTTATATTTTTTTCCAGATTTTACCTGGAAAAGCAGTACATTATTCAAACTGATAGGACCTGTTCACCAGCTGGGCGTGCACTTTGCCCAATATCAGAATATGCTTTTGTAATCTTGAGTGTGTCTTCATGAATTGGGGCAGGGTCAGATTTACAGCTGCAGTACATTTTTCAAAGCCATCTCCAATTCACGAGTTATTCAAGTACAATGTATATTAATATGTTGACTGATCAATATGGAGCCCTGGAGGGTTCATAGAGAGAAAAATAAATAAAACGAGGCCACGCTTTATTAATTTGTGCGCACGATATACTTACTCGTTCGCACGAGATACTTTCTTATGGTAAAACCCATCGAACTGCCCGATTATTACACCATATTATTATTTTTATGAAGAATATGTCCGGTCACCAAGGCGTGTGTGTGTGTGTGTCGTTCGTTCCGGTGCATTCCGGCAGGACTATAGCACTACATCGAGATTAAGATTAAACGAATTTCTTTCACTTGGGAATACACACATAACTATGGAGAACCAGATTTGTGTAAATTACTGTTCATGGTAATTTGAAAACAAATGCCGGTGGTGTCGGACACACACAAACACACCGAACACACACACACAGAGCGAAGCTGAGCACAAACCAAGCCCCCAGGAAGTGCGCCGGACTCAGGTGAAAATATTCGTGCTGGCCAAACGGCGGTACTACACTTCCTTTTGGTTGCCAGGCCCGGAAACACTTTTTCCCATTGACTTACATGGGGAAAGAGTGGTCTGTAAATCGTTGGATAATTTTTTTTAAACTAAATAAACTACCCAGTATGAACACTTGTATAGCCCTTATTAAAAACATTCGTTCCTCAAGTTGTAAAAATGTGCTAATAACGTTATTCTGAGAGTTATTTCCCTCTGCATTATGAACGCGCATCTAACCCACGGGACCGCGCTGCCCGGCACGTTCATGTTACGTGTTCAGCACTAGTACATGTGTTTATCTTTACCCATGGATGTACAATAAGAACGGACCCATATCGCCTTACTGCCAGCCCACGGAGCTGTAATAATGGATATATTGCACATGTTTGCTGTAATTCATCATTTGTAAAATATTATACTACATGGGCTGTATGATTAAATCTTGTACCGTAAATGTTGTATTAAATAAAGTTAATATTACTGACGTAGATTAACGTCCCTGTAGCTTCTTATTGCACTAAGAAGCTTATTGCACTGTATATATATACATATTATATATATATATATATATACAGTGCAATAATTCTTTCATGCTAAATGAAGCTCTGTTGCTTGGATATCACTAGATCCTGTTACAGCGTAATATAAAAGTACATAACGATTGATGTGTAAATTAGCATAATTACTAGCTAACCGCTAGCTGCTAACTGCCGCCTCGTTAATATCAAATCTATCATAATAACAAACCATTACCATGCTGTCATGAACGTGCGGTGCTGTTACGTGTACGCAAATTGACGTGCTTGATGTGAACGAGCATTTTGGGGGGCATGGTTAAAGTTGCGCATGCGCTATGAGCGCACATACGGGTACTTCTCAGGCATGCCGGGTAATCTGTGACGTTTCGCTCTCTCAAAAGTTGGGCCATTTTATCATCATGCGCGAATGAGCCATGGATGTATAATAAGAACTGGATACAGCGTGGGAGGCGGGGCCTCATTCATTCCTATGAGAGTTGCTCATTCGCGCATGATGATAAAATGGCCCAACTTTTGAGAGAGCGAAACGTCACAGATTACCCGGCATGCCTGAGAAGTACCCGTATGTGCGCTCATAGCGCATGCGCAACTTTAACCATGCCCCCCAAAATGCTCGTTCACATCAAGCACGTCAATTTGCGTACACGTAACAGCACCGCACGTTCATGACAGCATGGTAATGGTTTGTTATTATGATAGATTTGATATTAACGAGGCGGCAGTTAGCAGCTAGCGGTTAGCTAGTAATTATGCTAATTTACACATCAATCGTTATGTACTTTTATATTACGCTGTAACAGGATCTAGTGATATCCAAGCAACAGAGCTTCATTTAGCATGAAATAATTATTGCACTGTATATATATATATATATATATATATATGTATATATATACAGTGCAATAAGCTTCTTAGTGCAATAAGAAGCTACAGGGACGTTAATCTACGTCGGTAATATTAACTTTATTTAATACAACATTTACGGTACAAGATGTAATCATACAGCCCATGTAGTATAATATTTTACAAATGATGAATTACAGAAAACATGTGCAATATATCCATTATTACAGCTCCGTGGGCTGGCAGTAAGGCGATATGGGTCCATTCTTATTGTGCATCCTTGGGTAAAGATAAACGCATGTAGTGCTGAACACGTAACATGAGCGTGCCAGGCGGCGCAGTCCCGTGGGTTAGATGTGCGTTCATAATGCAGAGGGAAATAACTCTCAGAATAACGTTATTAGCACATGTTTACAACTTGAGGAACGAATGTTTTTAATAAGGGCTATACAAGTGTTCATACTGGGTAGTTTATTTAGTTTAAAAAAAATTATCCAACGATTTACAGACCACTCTTTCCCCATGGAAGTCAATGGGAAAAAGTGTTTCCGGGCCTGGCAACCAAAAGGAAGTGTAGTACCGCCGTTTGGCCAGCACGAATATTTTCATCTGAGTCCGGCGCACTTCCTGGGGGCTTGGAATGAGCAACTCTCATAGGAATGAATGAGGCCCCGCCTCCCACGCTGTATCCAGTTCTTATTATACATCCATGGCACAAACACACACACATCATGCGCCCGTGACCGGACATCTCCTTCATAAAACGAGTAATAGGGGGAATACTCTGGTAGTTCGATGTGTGTAGAGGTGTGTGTGTGGTTAAACGTAGCAGCCTCGATCTCTATTCAGCTGTTCTAATGAGGGGAAACATTGAAGTAAACAGTAAAAGGCACAGCTCTTTGCAGCTGGTGTTGCTCTTCTCAGATTCTGCTGAGTTACTGCCTCCAGTGCCCTGTACGACGAAGCCAGTTCAACAGACCCTGGATATGTTTGAGTTACCCGGCTTAACTAACCCTAACAAACGCGATCTCGCTAAGCGGTCCTACGAAGCTGGTTATCAACTCAGTAAATCAACCAGGGTTTCTCTGTCCGGCTGAGAGCGCGTTCACGTGAAAGGGACGGGGTTAGCAACATTTGACCAATCACAAACATGGAGAAGCATGCTGACAGCGCAGCGTCATACTTCATGAATGAATAGTAAATAGCAAATCCTGTTTCGTAGTACAGGCCACTGGTGCCGCAGAGATTTCATAAAGTGAAGGAGGTTTTCCTTCTATAAAACAGCTGTGGGCAGCAGATACTGTGGGAGTCACGGACAGGAATTCATAGATCAA